GAGTCAAAGTAAAACTTCTCGTTCCCTACATTTAGGAATTGCACTTGTAGGTATCTAACCTAGAGAAGCAGTCACACTGATGGAGAGACAACTATGTGAATCTTTATTGCAAACTTTAAGTAAACATTTTATTATGGATATTTTGAAACATAATCAGTAAAATGACAAATGAATCCCCTTTTACCCATCACCCAACTTCAAAACTTCAATATTTTTCCATTCTTTTCTCAACTATTCCCTGCCCTACTTTCCCACTTGTTTCCCTCTCTCCTTCTCCCTTCTTCTCCTTTTTTTTTTTTTGCAAGCATCCTATCATTTTGCCTGCCAACATGTCATTATGTAACACTCCAGGATATTGGCCTTGATATCATCTAATATCTAATCTGTGTTCAGTTTTCTGTCTCAGAAATGTCTTTTTACTGTTGTTTTGTTTGAATTAGGATTTTAAAATGTCCACACATTACATTTGGTTGAAATGTCTTAAACCTGTTTAAATTTATAGTAAAGAATCCTTTTTAAGGGCTGTTTATTTATTGAAGAAACCAAGTCATTTGCCCTCTAGAATTTGTCCTTATTCTGTATCTGGCTGACACCTTCATGGTGTCTTGAACATATTCCTCCATCCCGAGTGCTCTTAGAAGCTGGAAGATCTGGAAGCCTCACAAGATCCAGTTCGGTTTTTGGCAGTACGATGTCGGAGCCTTGCCATTCTATCACATCCCTCTAGGAGGCACTCAACGTCCAGTGTCCACTTTAAGTGACAGTAGAGTTAACCAGGCAGTTTGCAAGCAGCTTCACCATCTCTTACAACCATTGACCTTCCACCAGATGGTTCTAGGCAGTTTTGTAAAACAAATGATTGAAAGCTATTTATTGTTCATTAACGGGGGAGGGGATATATGTGTGAAAATGATAGGCATCAAAGGCCCAAATGTCAACAGCGGTTAACTTAAGCTTTGGGAATAGAAGTAATTATTTTCATTTTGTGTACTTTTTTTTTCAACTTCTCTAAAATGAAAACGAAAGAAATCCTGCCTATGCCTGCAAACGCAGGTGAGACAGGGAAAAAGACCACAGGGAAGGTTCCAGTCCAAAGTTCAGGAAGGCAACCAGGCGAGTCCAGAGAACGACAGCGTGGACACAGCCTCAGTCCGTTTGCTTTGTTTTCGCCTGTCCAGGGTCCATTCCTCCTCCTGACCGCTCTTGTTTCCTTTGGGGTCGTGCCCCTCCTCCCCTGGATTCCGTTTTGGTGAACCATCGCTAAAGGTGCTCCACCCTCCCCTCGCCAATCAGACCCCTTCTCCCAGGACTTCGGGTCTTGAGCAGCCTGGCCTCCACCTGGAAGCCTTCCCTCCACGGGACCACGAGACTTTCTCCTGGGTCCGCCCACTTCCAGCTCTCAGAGCCTCTTCTGCTGGCCTGTGTGTACGGCCTCATCCCTGCCTGGACCCTCTTCTCAGTAGATGTTAGCTGAGCAAATGATACCCACATTGTTTAGGGCTGATGAAATGACTTGAATATTAACTAAAAAGATCCCAGATACCCTTACAGATGTTCTAGAGAATGTGGTAGCAGCTTGCAGGCCCTCCAGTCTAGCCCCAGCCAGGGCCACCCTTCTGAGCCAGGGCACTCTAACCCAGCCAGGTACAGCCTTCCCTGAGCCCCCACGGTCCCCAAGCTGGGCCTTGGCCTCTGTTCCTAAACAGCCCCCAGTTGCTCTGCTCTGCCCTGTGCAGAAGCTTGAAAGAGGGTGAGGCCTGGATATTATATTTAAAGAGGCCACACGAAGGGACATTTACCTCCAGAGTCATTACAATCGTGGGTTTAGGAACCTGGACACTGTTTGCCAGGACACTGCTGCCAATGCTGGTTGCTGAGTCTCATTTGTGTGTAGGCAGCTTCACGTTCCTTTAGAAATGCTAATACTTTCAGTCCAGTCTGACTTGGGCCTAAGGCCATTTTTTGTGTGTGTCTTTCCTTGCCCTTCCCCATTTCTTGTTTTGTCTTTCTCTCTCTCTTTCTGGAGGAGGGGGCATTCTGACTTCTAAGGGTAATTAGTGGATGAGCCAGAATTCCGGCCTGGACAGCCAGACTCCGGGGGTCTTGCTCACCACCTCTGCACCTGCCGGCTTTGTCCCGGGATGCACACTGCAGTTCTTCTGTTGTGCGGAAGAGCTTTGACTCAGAGGGGACTGTAAATGTTTATAGGATCAAATTCTTTTAAACTGTTCTCATCTTGCTTCTATAAATTTTTATTTATTGTTGGATTTTAGACAGAGAGGAAGTGGGGTGGAAAGAGAGAGAAACATCGATGTGCTGTTTCACTTATTGATGCATTCATTGGTTGATTCTTGTATGTGCCCTGACTGAGGATCGAACCTGCAACCTTGGGGATTCAGGACTATGCTCTAACCAACTGAGCTACTCGGCCATGGCTCACCTTTCTCCCTCCCTCCCTCCCTTGCCGTCTTCCTCCCTCCCTCCCTCCCTCCCTCTCTCCCTCCTTCCCTCCTTCCCTCCCTCCCTCCCTCCCTCCCTTCCTCCCTCCCTCCCTCCCTTCCTTCCTTCCTTTTTTTTTTTTTTTATTTTTAGAGAGGGGAAAGGTAGAAGACAGAGAGGGAGAGAAGCAACCAGGGACCTGGCCCGCAACCCAGGCATGTGCCCTGACTGGAAATCACCCCAACAATCCTTTAGTTCGCAGGCCAGCACTCAGTCCACTGAGCCACACCAGCCAGGGCCTTTCTTGCTTCTTTTAAAAAAAAGAGAGAGGGAGAGAGAGAGTTTTAAAGACAGAGTGAGAAACAGAATGAGAATGAGTAAGCATTACAGACTGCAGTTGGGGGTTTAAAAAAAATAAGTGATATCATCTGCTTATCTTAGAAATGTGTAAAGATAAACACCAGCAGAACAAACAGAATGTGTAATCTTCAAACCAGCGGATGGATGGATTTCTTAAGGTTCCTGGTTTCAGACAACAGCAAAGGACTCTGGCCAACGAATGCAGAATATCAAGAAAACAGACAGAAATGAAGCCCCAGTACCAGGCTGGACAGGATCCTGCTCTGGCACCGCCACCCTGGACACACGTGCCCCTGTGGTCACGGGTCTGAGTGCCACTCGCTCCGGGTAGGAGTCCCTCTGGCTACGTGTCCGCTTTGGGCCACAGTGACATTAGCAGTGGCGAGTGTCCAGAACTCGTTCAGTTTCTGTGGTGCCATCCACTGAGGGGTTCCCCTTAATGGAAAGAGGGTTCAAATCCTAGGGAGCCCCCATTCCCCACAAAGGCAACTCCTCTCTACAAGGAAGACTTGGGGCGAAGAACACTTGGTGGATCCATTAGAAGACAAGAATGGGGAAGGGGAGACGCTGAGAAATGTCCAAAAGGAAAAGCGCTCCCAGATAGCAGATCGATTTGGAAACACCATCTGACTCAGCAAGAATAGCTATGAAGTGCTGTGTATTTGACCTTTCCCGAGCAAACACTTAACAGAAGGAAGAGTGGGCAAGTGCAACTTTGTTTGTTGATAAGATTAATCTTGGACTTTGAATGTCCAGACAAAATAGTCCTTTTTCCTGAGAAGGAACGGGTGATTCCAGTATGTTCACCTTGACCCTCAGAAATACTGGCAGAGAGGGATGTGTGTGATGACCGTGGGCTCAAGAGCCCATGGAAAGGAGGTGAAAGTCAGCAGAGGCGGATGGATGGGGAGAAAGCAGAGCAGGGGGCCGAGGAAGGGGTGGAAGAGTCAATCAGCCCGCAGGCAGCAGAGCCAGCGCAGGAAGGAGGCCGCCTGGTCAGGAGTTCACACTGCCTGGAAGGGAAGTGCTCCCGGAGCTCCCGGCAGCGAGGATGTGACCAAAGGGCCGAGGAGCCAGGGTGATGGAGCTGATCCGGAAGGATCAGGAGCTGATGCCAGAGCAGTAGGGCAGTCGCCATCGCATGGACTTTGATGTCACCCAGGATAATGGCAGGAGTGGAGCGGACAGGAAGTAAAGAGGACCCAAACTCTTGAAAACGGGAGGAGGAGGGCTGTGGGTGACAGGAGCCAGCCTTGGGGACTCAGGGGAATGCTGCCCACCCCTGAGCGGGGCGGAAGACGCAGCGGCAAGGGAAGCTTCTTCCCAGAGAGGGCAGGTGAGACCCGGCTGGCTGCCCTTCCCACCGCCATCTGTTTTTCTCAAGGGCTGAGCCCAGAGCTGCTGTTTCCACTTTGCAGGGCAACCAGCGACCTGTGACAGATGGGACCTATCTACCGACAAGCCATGGGGACACTGAAGAGAATACATTGAGTTTACACTGGGAACACGTGCCTGCTGACACCTCACATCCTTCACTTTCCCCAGTCTACCCAGCCCCTCTCTGCACACAGTAGGCCCTTCACACACTGACCAAAGTTCCTCAGGAACTTGAGTCATCTCTGTCACTTAAGAGAGGCTCCTAGGCCCTGGCAGATGTGGCTCAGTTGGAGCGTCATCCTGTGCACCAAAAGGTTGGGGGTTCGATTCCTGATCAGGGCACATACCTAGGTTGCAGATTTGATCCCCAGTCAGGGCACGTATGGAAGGCAACAAATCGATGTGTTTCTCTCTCTTTCTCCCTTCCTCTCTCTCTCTCTAAAAGCAATAAACATATATATTTTTTAATTAAAAAAAAAGAAAAAGAGGCCCCTCAGGAACCCACAGTTAGTCTTCGGGAAGAATTGCGGGCTGCAGCCTGAGGTATGGGGTCTGACCACTCCCCGCAAGCTCCCCAGGGCTCCCTGAGAGCTCATTTCGGAGGTGACACTGGGCACCCACAGCTCTGCACAGCCTTCGCTCACGCTCCTTTCTCCCAAGTGGCGACCTCTGGAGGGTAACGTTATGGGTGGTTTTTTTATTTGTTTCTTTTCCTTTAGATTTAATTCTTTCTTTAAAAAAATTGTCCTGATACACACAATAAAATCTACCACCTTAACGGTTTAAGCACGCAGTTTAATATTGTTTGAGTATATTCACAGCATTGTGCAGCCGATCTTCAGAAGGGGCAGGGGCGTGCACAGGGCAGGCAGGGCGGGACTGGCGTGGGGGCTGGGAGGGCGCAGACAGTCATTTCCGCCTTGGTAACCTGAGGGCCTCAGTTGGTTTCAGTACAGCCATGACTTATGCACACGCAGAGAAAACACAGCTAACGTGTCAAAGTGTGACACTCAGGCTGGGGGGGACCCCTTTCATTTTTTGCAGACAGGCGACCGAGGCCTGGAAAGGGGAGGTGATTTGCTTGATGCCACACAGCAAGGCGGCAACAGGGTTGAGACAAGAACCAGGCCCCCCCAGGCTGCTGGCAGCCCTACCACCCAGCAGTGCCACCAGGTGGAGATCCCAGAGCGGAATAAACTGACCTGGGGCTGCAGAGGGGTCAGGCAAGAACAAGGTCCCAGGTGGAGGCCCGAAGTGAGGGAGGGGCAAAAAGTGCCAAGGGAAGGCAGGGACCCATGAAAACATTTCAGAAACTGGTGACAGCAGTGGGGATGTCCCCAAAGGAAAGCTGCAATGGTCCCGCAGGGAAGGACTTTGCCTGGGGGTCTGGGCGTCTGGAGGGCAGACGGTAACCTTATGTCCCTTCTGGTACGTGGTGGGGGCAGGAGTCACTGAGGTGGCTGCAGTGTGGACAGGCCACAAAGGGGGACAGGCATGGAGACATCCCCGCGGAGTTGGGCGGGTGTGGCTCCCAAAGCTGCTTGAGGCCCGCTGGCTCCTCCAGGTGAAGCTGCTGGGAGGCTCCCGTGGGGAGGGGGCCCGTCTCAGCCAGAGGGTGGGCCCTGCTGCCCGGGAAGCCCATGTCACACAGGGTGCTGCCCGTGCTCACCCTGCTGAGGCTGCGGGGGCTGCTGCAGAGCCGGTGGCGGTGGCTCCGGGTCCCCAAGCACAGGGCATCCCGGAAGGTCTCCTGGAAGCGGGTGGACAGGAGGCTGTAGAGCACGGGGTTGGCGGCCGAGCCGAGGTAGAAGAAGACGCCAGAGATGATGTGCACGTACTTGAAGGCCAGGTGCAGGTCGTCGGTCCAGTGGGACACGAAGCTCCACATGAGGCGGTCGATGTGGAACGGGGCCCAGCAGATGCCAAACACCAGGACCAGCACAGCTGCGGGGGCAGAGGAGAGAGGCTGGGTGCCCGCCGGCGCCCACTCCACTGCCTCCCCCGCTCCAGTGCGGCCGGCGCCTTCTCACCTTCTCTCCCGTCCCACAGGCCCCCCACGCCCACTGGCCATCTGGAAGTTTCTGGAAGTTTGCCTGCCCTGGCCGCATCCCTGTCGGAGATGCTGCTCTCACCACTGCCACTGACCGGTCGGGCAGAGGGTGTGCGCCCTGCCCCGGCCACAGCCACGGGACCAGGAGCGGACACCGGAGCCAAGCCGGCCCAGCCCAACTGCCTCACCACCCAACTCGGAACGGGTGTCTCTCAGGTGTGGACACCGAGCCCCGGTCTGACGCAGGCTGTGCGGCGAAGGCCTGCTCGGGGCACCGCCGCGGGGACCGTGTTCGCTGATGCATGAGCAGAGTGAAGCAGGAGAAAGGGCCGCTGTTCCGACAGCAGGAGATGGGAGGTTAAGGGATCGAGAGCAAGACAAACGCACACAGCCCACCGTGCCTGCCTTGGCCCCAGAAGCCCTCCAGCCCCAGCCACCAGCTGTCCGAGCCCCAGCGAATATCCTGCCCTGCACTAACAGACCGGTTACTTGGGAGCCTGCCATCACCGCCCCCCCACAGCAACAGACACGAGAGGGCAGCCAGGCCCGCACTCTCTCTCCCCAGCTCCCTCCCAGCCCTGGTCTTAACCAACTGTGACCTTTTGGGGTCCCTGTCACAGGCTCCGCCTTGATTTTTGTCTCTTATGACTTGTGTTTGCTCAGCTATCTTTCCCCAGCGGTATCTTCCCCATCTCATCCCAGTGTTGTTTTCCTTATAATCCCAGATTTCCCTGTCGTCCATCCCCCCCCCCGCCCCCCCCCCCCCCCCCGCCCCGCGCACACAGCCTGGTACACAGCACGTCTTCAGAAAGAGAAGGTGGGGGAAGGAGGGAGAGAGGGACAGAGGGACAGAGGGAGGCAGAAAAGAGAGCCAGGGCCCCAAGCCAGCAAGCAGGGTAGCTTTAAGGACACACCCCACCTGCCCAGGGTGAGGGCCACCCCAGCTGAGCAGATGCGGACCCTGTGATATGCGGGAGCCCGAGGCAGGGCAGGGTGGGGCCGTTGGTCTGTAGTGCTGGCTGCACAGTGCCAGGCTGGGAGGCAAGCAAGGAGCTCCAGGGCATGACAAGCGACGCCGCACTCCGGGCAGTAAGAAGGGTGGCCTCTTCCTGGGAACGGGGCTGTCCCCGTTAGCCGGCTGGACTCCCAAGGCTTCGACCAAGGCCTCGCCAGCCCTGGCCCAGCCGGGCTCACCGCTCCCACCTGCCTGATTCAGGCCCTGCTCAGGGCGGGGCGGGACGCGGCAGAGATCCACGACTGGTTTAGGTTTAGTTTGTCTTGCTTTCCCCAGGGCCACTCTTTTTGAAAAAGAGGCAAGCCAAGGCCACACCAAGATCCAGAACCTCACCCGGCCAGCTCGTCCGTCCGCACTTCTGCCCTTACTCCCCCACACTCTGCACCCAGCCCTCCCAGATGCACCTCGTGACAATTCTCTTTTAGACAATGGTCACTCCTGTGGTCCCCAGGGGACCGCAGACACAGATGGAAGAAACACATCATCTTATCTCTCCAGCTGCCCCCAGATCCCACCATGTGGTTCTGCAGGGACTGGTTGCATCAGCATCCTATCACTCGGGCTTGGGGAGGGAGCCGTGACCGATCCTCACCCTTTAGAATCCTTTCCTCAAGAACGTGGGCCTCTGCGCCCCTGACCTTGCCTTCCAGGCTGATGTACGGAAGGATAGAGCCAAGCTATGTGGGGAGTCAGGATGAGAGATCTGGAGCGTCCAGGTGCCGCGAACAGCTGTGCTGTCCTGGAGCCCAGCCACGTACCCCGGCCCTGTCTGTGGTCTGGTTCCGTGACCGCGGCTGGCGTCATCGGTGTACCACCTGTGCGTGTGCACAGGGTCCCAAGCTTAAAAGGGTTGAATGCTCTGCTGTTGCTGACTTGACATCCTTAATAATATTTGAACTAGGAATCTGAATTTTCATTCTGCATTGGGCCCTGCAAATTATGCAGCCAATCCTGCCATGAGTCGTGACTATTTCTCTTCGGTGTACATTTCACAAATGGTAATCTAAAAGAGTATCCATGCATGCACACACATGTACATGCACACACACCACGGTGGGGCGCGTGATCCCAAGCCTCTCACTCATAAACCCAGACACAGCCCCCGCCCTGAGGCCCTGAAAGCCCCAGCTTTGTACCTTGTGTCTGGCTCAGCCCCTCTTCCCAAGAGCAACACTTACATAGCATCTTGGTCACCTGCGTTCGACTTCTATCCTGTAGCGGCTGGAGGCTGCGTCTGTCTCTGGACCTGGCTCTGCCCCAGGGCTCCTGCCTGAGCAGCAGCAGCCTCTCCTGCCGAAGCCGCAGCCCGATGAGCACGTAGAGCACGCTGATGGTGGCCATGGGCAGGCAGAAGAAGAGCAGAGTGGTGATCTGTATGACCAGGTTGTAGAGGGCCTTTGGGCGGACCAGCGTGCACACAGCCGAGCTGGGCACCGTACCCCGGCAGGGCAGAACCAGCTGCTGGATGCCGTGCAGGCTGGTGTTGGGCAGAGAGCAGAGCACAGCAAGGCTCCAGATGGCCCCGAGCACGCGGCGCACGTGGGCCCCGGTCATCACGGACCTGACCTGCAGTGGGTGCACCACGGCCATGTAGCGCTCCACGCTCAGGGCGGTGACGTTGAGCACAGAGGCCAGGCAGACCGTCTCAAAGAGCAGCGTGCGGAAGTAGCAGCCGCCGGCTCCCAGCAGGAAGGGGTAGTTACGCCACATCTCATAGAGCTCCAGGGGCAGGCCCACCAGCAGCACCAGCAGGTCTGACACGGCCAGGCTGAAGAGGTAGTAGTTGGTGGGCGTGCGCATGGTCCTGTAGCGCAGGATGACCGTGCAGGTGAGCCCGTTGCCCAGGGTGCCCACCACGAAAATCACCAGGTATGTCACACAGATGGGCATGAACAGCTCTGTCTGTTGGGGCCCCAGGTACTTGAGTCTCAGCTCCTTGTCGGTCAGGTTCAAGTCCGTGGGGTCAAAGGGCTCCCAGGCCCTACTGTCATTGCAGGACGCCAGGCTGCTTGCATCCATGGGGGACATGTCTCCAGGGAAGATGGAACAGTTAGAGCAGAAACCAACCTCTGGAACAGAAGACAGAGACACCTGGAAGAGTCACTCAGAGAACCCTGGCCCCGTCATAATCCACCAAACCGAAGGTGCCATTATTCTATGTGCTCCCGGGAAAGAAAAACGTCCGTCACCCATTCATCTGCACCAATGTAAGATGCATTACAATTCAGAGATGTAAAAATGTACATCTAAAAATGATAAAATGTGGCCCTGGCTGGGTAGGGCAGTTGGTCGGAGCGCCTTCGCGAGAGGCCAAGGTTGCCAGTTCAATGCCCCGGTCAGGGCGTAGGCAAGAGTCGCTGAATGCATGAATAGGTGGAATGACAAATGGATGTTTCTCTCTTGCTCTCTCCCCCTTTCTCTCCCCCTAAAAAGTCAATAGATTTAAAAAAATTGTTAATGATAAGAAGTGGACTTCAATTTTAAATTTCACGATCTGATAAACCCTTTGACCAAACGATGAACCCCCTTGAGCACGGGCTTTGCCACCTGTAGTGCCCCCGTGGAGCTCTCCCCTGTCAGGCCACAGACTTCGGGACAGGATCTCAGTCTGGGCATCCGTGAAATGGACACAACGTGCAGTATCGCAGGGTGTTTAAGAGCAAGGGCTCTAGCAGCAACTGCCTGGGTTCAAACCCAGCCTCCCCAGTCCCAGCCTGTGCGACCATTGGCCTGGTAACGTCTCTGCGGCTGTTGCCTTATTACAAGGACTGAGGGCACTCAATCCCTGAAAGGCGTTAACCCGAGGCCTGCCTGACCTACCAAAGGGGCCGGTTACCAGCACATCTGAGTCACTGAAGGGATCAAGGGCTAAAAACTGTCGTGCTCCTCCAAAACTTGGCTCTTGGAAGTGAGGGCCATCTGGCTGCGACATCTGTCACCCCACTGATCACCAGGGTTGATTCGGCTGATCTGGCTGGCTAGGCGGGTGTCTCCTTCCTCCCTCATTGAGCCATGAGTGTCCTCCCAAAGCTGCACACACACTCAGTCAAAGAGGACAACCTCCCCTTCCGGAGGAGAGGACGGGTCTTCGGTCAAGGGTACACAGGTAGCTGCGCTCCCCTGCTAGAACCTCCAAACGAGCTCTAGGAACTTGGCTCTTGTTTCTGTGTTCCACGGCCTGAACTGTCCGAGGGGGATAGTGGACACCCTTAGCACCGCCCGTTCTGGGGGCCCCCAACGTCTCTTGCCCCCCTCTGCCAGGCCACCGAGTGCAGCGATTAAGGACCAAGGCCACGGCGCTGAGCGCCCCAGCCTGGGTGGGCTCCAACGCCAGCTCCGCCGCACTCTCGCTGCAACCCCCGCTTCCTGCGCCTCGGTCTTCTCATCGGTGAAAAGGGGGCTCAGATAGAGCCTACCTTATGGCTTCTGGGAAGATTACATGAGAGACTACACAAAAAGTCCTCAGGAACACCTCCGTAGGTTTTGGGCGCTCAGTTTTGGCGCATGGTAGGTAACATGATCCTCAAGTCCCACGAGGAAAGGGAAGGGCCGTCCGAGGGAGAGGGAGTAGCGGCCTGAGACTGCCCCCCTGAGCCTGTCCCCACGCCACCTCCCCATCAACTCTCCCCTGGGAGCAATCAGATTTTAAGACTCAGTTCCTGGGTCTTCCTCCAGCCCTATGTCGTCTCCTCAGTTGCGGGGCTCGGGGCCTCCAGTGGCCCCCATACTTGTGCACGCGCCTTTCAACTTTCCTTTCCAGGTCCTTTGCGCTCCCAGGCCCCAAGCATTCTTCTTCTTTATTACAGTGATAGAGTCAACCGGGCCCCAGGGTCCCCCCAAGCATGCTGAATCCTGAGTGTCTTCCTCCGCGCCACGGCCTCTGCCCGGAAGTCTCTCCCAAGCCCCCTGCCCCTCCCACCTAATCCCCCATCGTGGGGTCGTGGTGCATCTTCATCCACTCAAACGTTGCCTCTGCCCCCGCTACCCCGCTGGTGCGGGAGCCAAGGGCAGCAACAGCGGGGATAAGCTGGGAGGGCGCAGCGCAGACCAAGGGGGAAGAGGGGCTCCCTACACCACGGGGAAGGGTCTGCGTGGCCTGGGATAAGACGAATAACGCGCGAGGCTGTGAGTCTCCGGAGATGGGGGCGCCCCTCCGGGAGCCTCGGACCCCCACCGTCCCGGGAAGATGCAGCCCGCGCGCTCCTCCAGCCTCGCCTCGCCCAAGCCCCGGGCCCGCGGCGCGCCCCGTCCGCCGCCGCGCCCTCGCCCACGCCACGCCGGCACCCCGCTCACCTACCCTGCAGTCTGCGCTCGCGAAATCCAGAGGCGGGGGGCGCCCCCGAAGACACCTGCGGCGCCTGGAGCGAGCAGACCGGCCCACTGCCGGCGTCGGCCACCCGCAGCCCGCCCCGTCGCCCCGCCCGTCTGTGGCCGGCGCCCCTCCGGGGCCGCCGCCAGGGGGCAGGGCCGACGTCCCCGCCAGCCTGTCTGCCGCGGGACCCAGACACGCTCCCACTGGGCGACCGCACCCCCACCCGAACGCGAGCGGCTAGTTTCCCAGCGTTTGACGGGGCGCTTCCAGAAGCACCTTCAGCTCCCGGAACCTCGCAACGGCCCACTTCACAGACGGGAAACGGCCTCGGAAAGAAGTCGAGAGATCCGGGTCCCACACGCTGTGCTCGACCTGCAACGTGCTGACTTGGAGCGAAAACCCGTGTTATGGTCCCTCCGGCCCCACCTCCTCCTTCCCCACGTTTCAGACGTGTCTTCCAGGACATTCATGAGCCCCGAAGGGTCTCCCCTGACTCTTCTCCCTCCCTCCACCCGAGCCCCCAGACGGCAGCCTCCACCCCTCCTCCACGGGAGTCCTCCAGCCCCGAGGCAGGTTCTCAGCCTCCCCCTTCCAGCCCTGCCCCCACAGCCCACTCGTCCTGAGCCATCGACTTGCCCCGGCGCCGCTGAAACCTTCTGTAGGGCTTTCCTTCCAAAAAAGAACACAGGTCTGACCTGACGGTGGACCTCCCTGGTCTCCACGTGCCTTCCTGGTCCCCTTACTAAATCTCTCACCCCAAACACCCTCAATCTCTTGCACTCAGACGTCCCCACTCTAGTCTGATCACAGGAGGGCCGCGGGGAGAGAGGGAGGGGGCTGCCAGCAGGGAAGAGCCACAGATGCTAGGACCCCGCCTCCTCCTGCTCCCCCAGACTGTACACGTGTAAACCCAGTAAGGATTACCTTCCCTGCTCGGCTCCCGCTTAGTACCAGCTCCTTGGCTGGAAGTTATTTCATCAGGAACTTGCAGGGGGCCTAGAAACGTGGACCTCACCAGCAAATATGCTGGCTCTTGGGTCCGATTCCCTGAGTTCCTCGGTGTGGCCCATTAATAACCAGAAGTCCTCCGTTCCCACAGACACCTTCCCAAGAGCCCCAGGCCCCAGAATCACACTTTGAGAAGCACTGAGAGGCGTCAAATCCAAAGTCCCACGGCGCAGGGAGGCTGCTGGTGAGCTGTGTGCCTGGGAGGAGACTCGGCCCTGCTGAGCCTCAGTCCTCCTGCCTGTGGGATGTGCTATCCCGTTGCCACGACTGTAACTGCGCAGGGAGACAGAGCGTGAGGGTGTGGCACAGGGCTGGCATGCAGTCAGCGCTCAAGAAATCCCCCCCGTTATCGGGGGGGGGGGGGGGATTATCTCCGCTTGGTGAGAGCTGGAAGCGAGACCTTCCTTCCCCAGGCTTTCCGTGCCCCTGCCCCTGCCCCTGCCCCGCCCCTCCCCACCAGCCTGGCCCTGGGAACTGGGAGTTAGATCCTCTCAGAGCTGCCGTCAGGCCTGCCTTCCCAGGAACTCCACATGTAAACATACTCGAGGCACAGGGAGGTTGAAGGCGGTTCAGGGGCAGATGGTCTCCAAGTCCCTGGGCTAAAAGAATCTGGGGTTCCCCCAAAAGTTAACTGCTGAGCCCCAGCGGAGTGAGCCCAGAGGACCCTTTGAGATCAGGGCTGCTGTCGTATCCGATGAGCAAGGACAAGCAGGCAGCTTCACTGGGAAACGTGGTCACCGACAGCAGACAACATTTACCGTGTGATGAGCGTTTCTGACCTCTGCCTCTATCGCTGGCACGCACACACCCACACACCCCACTGTGCACAGGCTCTGAGCGGCCTGAAAACCACTGTGGACCCTTTGGAGGTGCTCAGAGCCCGGGAAATAACGGAGAAGGCCCTCTTCTCTGCCTCACAGAGGCAGAGTGGCTCCCACTGGTCGGGAATCCCCACAGCTGGCTGCACCACTGGCGGCATTAGCAGCCATCAAGAATCTGGGTGCGCGGGCCTCTGGGCCTGAGCTTGAGATCACCATGGCAGCATGGGAGGTACCAGTGACGCCCTGCTGCCTCCCTACTCGGTCCCGAGGTGGCTTCCCCAGGGCCGTGCCCATGAGGGGCATTCCCAGGGCCAAGGCCTGGGGTGAACACATCTCAGGTTTGGGGGTGACACCTCAGTCTCCTGAGCCTGGCTTGTGGGCATCTACCCAGCTGAGGACTGACTCCATACTACAGCACGTCTGCCAAGGGAGGGCCGCTGGGACCTCTGGGAGCTGGTTGGGGTACCCCAGGTCTGAGAGCACTCTGGACCAGCCCCGCAGCCGCCCCTCACCCTGCTGACTCCTGAGCTTTCCCCCCGGGAGCGGTTTGGCGCCCAATTTGCTCTGGAACTTTGGGTAAAAATTCCAGACCTCCCTGGTTGGGGCTTGGGGCCCTGCGAGAGATCACAGGGTGTGGCTGCAGCTGAGAGACCGAAGTTTTGTGGTTTTCGTTCTTGGGAGACACATTGCTTAGATGTTCCATGCCCCGGTGTCCCCCTCCGCAGGATGGAGATGACAACAGACCCACTGCATGAGGTTGAGCCTCAGGGCTGAGTGAGATCACAGATGCGTTGCCCAGAAAGCACTTAGCCAGCACCTGATGACTATTTTTCAAATGTATGAGAGGAGGTGCAGGTCTCAGAAATGTGATGCCTTTCTAAACAACAGGAGAAGTGATTGTTAATGTTTTTCTTCAAGGCAGTGAGAGAAAATAACCTAGAGGTTTCTCTCCTTCCCCTGGGACGAGGGACGTACAGCGTGAGAAGCTGACGGCGAAGAGGCTACGATCGGTGGCCAGGCCCAGTAGGTGCAGCAGTCCTTCCCCGCTCGGGTGGTCTCGCTAGGACCATGCCTGCCGGCCGCTCCTGTTCCCAGAAAGCTCTTGAGTCCCTTTGGGTGGGGGCCCTCTACACAAGGTCGGGACAAGCAGGTAGAACTTCCTTTAGGGCAGGGCCACCCTGTCATGCTGAACCCAACCTTGCAGGGCCCCAAAGCTCCCGGATGGACCCCTGCCCCCGCCCTGTGAAAAACCCGCTCTTTCTCTGAGCAGGGTCCCTTCTGAGCAGAGAGGGGCAAAAGCCTCCTCTGGACCAAGGGACGGCGGCCCCAGTGAGAGCAAGAACGTGGGCGAGGGTGACTCGAGCAAGTCCCCTCCCGTCTCCAGCCTCTGGAGAATGGGGACTCATAGCTTCCTCACAGCCTTGATGAGAAGGGAACCCGCTGGGGCTGGTCCAGCGGCCACCCGTGGTCGGCCTGCAGCCCGCGGCCTGGCCCAGAGGTGGCGGCATCTCGTTGGGCATCGGATTTCGAAGTTGACCGTGGTTCTCTCTCACGGTGGACAAAGGTGGGAAGAGGGGGAAGGTACGTTCTTTTTGTTTTCAGTTAAAAATTTTGTCAGCAGTCCACATTTGTTCCTTCTGTGATGACTATATGTGTAGGTTCGTATTTTCTCCATTTTAAAAGGCAGTTCCTTGTTTAACTCTGGCGACCTCACTCCGGCCAAGCTCTTTCTTCAGATCATCGGCAGGGTCCCGTCTAGCCTGGACAGCAGCCTCCAAGGATGGCTTGGGAAAACATGGACACAGCGTTGTCACTGTCATGCCCAGCCAGCCGCCCCACCTCCCCGTGCGCCCGAGGCCCCTCCGTGCGGCTGCCATTCTGCCATCCCGACTGTCACACTCTCCGCTGTGTCACCCCTACCGGGCGCCTAGGACCCCTGGGCCCAGTGCGAGGAGGGGGGAGCTGCACACAGCCCACTCCTGTCCCCGATCTCGGCGGCCAGGCAGCCGGCCTTTGGCCCCATGGCTCCACTCCTGGCTCCCGCCGAGCACAGGCACGTCCTGGCTGAGACCTCGGGCCGGGAACCGGGGCCCGGTCACCTGCCCCGTGCAGCTCCAGGTGGGGGCAGTGCCCCGCCCCCAGCAGGGTGGGTGCGTGGGCACTAACCAGACCTCAGGATCGTTCGCTCACCCCCCGCCAGGAGGGCACCATCCTCCCATTTCTCAGAGAAGGAGCCCAACTCACACTCATGCCCCCTGCAAAGCCCTGCTCTTGACCCACCGCCCACACTTGACCACACACCTACTAAGCGAGGGAAGGCAGCGCAGCCCTGGCTCAGTGCCCCTCCGCCCGACCTGTCTGCGTGAGCTGCGGGGCCTCATCCTCCTTACCCGTGGAATGGGGGTGACAAACCTTTGCCCATTGCCATGAGGATCACGTGAGATAGCTCTTATAGGCTCCCGGGAACATGTGCAGTTTTCAATGACAAAACACATTCCAGAAAAATTCTGTAAGACTAGACAAAGAGCTTTTCGTTCTGAACCGTCTGAGAGTAAGCTGCTGGCCTGAAGCCCAGGCTCCCTGAGTACCTCGGTCTTTCCTGTAAACGGGGACCCTCTTGTCTGTCACCACAAGGCTGCCATCAACATGGGGACCACGTGGCGAGGCATCACTGCCCGCTAATCCTCAGGTCCTTCCAAGTTCCACCAGTTGTCCCAGTCGGGGAAAGTTCCCCAGTCTTCCCTTGACTTTCACAACCTTGACATTGAAGATTACAGGCTATTTTTTAAATTTTATTTACTTATTTTTAGAGAGAGGAGATGGGAGGAATGAAGAGAGGGAAAGAAACATCGATGTGCGAGACAAACATCCGTCAGTTGCCTCTCGTATGTGCCCCGACTGGAGACCAGACCCACGGCCCAGTCACGTGCTCTGACCTGGAATTGAACCGGTGAAACTTCACGTTGCGGGGCGCTGCCCAACCAACAGAGCCACACTGGCCAGGACAGGCCAATTTTCTCACAGGATTTCTCTCCCTTATGGATTGTCTAGTGTTTCCTTATGGTGGATTCAAGGCAGGAGTATCACAGAAAGGTGGGTATTCCTTTCCCTGCACCCCGGGAGGCAGCACGTAGCTTTGATTTGTTCTGTGACTGAAGGCAGTACCGTCATTCCCTTGACTGAGAAGGTCTTGGCCAGGCTTCTCCCCTG